ATCTGGGTTTTTCCCCAGCTCTCCCTGCCCCTGACTATAAATATTTCCTTCCTTTTTGGACCAAGAATTAGAAATGATGGATGGTAGCTGAGGAGTTGAGGACACACACAGACACACACACACACACACCAGCTTCAGTTTTCATCAGCATCTCCATCATATAGTTATTAAAGTGATACGTTTTCTGAAGTTTTTTCATACATGTGTACTTCCATGAAAGATGAACTCAGCCTCTCCCCGCCTTCTGCAGAACCCTGTGTTCGTAATGACACATGAGGCTTTACTTTTTTTTTTTTTTTTTTTTTTTAAATCTTTTTGAGACAGGGTCTCCCTGTAGCCCCAGTTGTCCTGGAACTCACTATGTAGACCAGGCTGGCCTCGAACTCACAGAGATCCGCCTGCCTCTGTCTCCCAAGTGCTGGGATTAGTGACTTTCTATGAAATGGTCACCAAATTTCATAATTAAAATACTAGTTTCAGTATCATTGACTCCTCATAGCACAGTTTAGGTAGGAAAAGCTGTCAAATATATGGGATTTCACCCCGTGGAGTGCTTTCTGGGGAGGTGCAGGAGTTGAAGGGCAGGCTTGGAGGCAGCAGCTGGCCTTGCCATCCTTCATAATGTGCAGGTTCACCTTGCACTCTTCTGGTGGGTGATGGAGCTTGGGCAGAAGACTGGCATTGGGATCAAGTGACTAGTTTCCTTTAGTGATAACAATAGTAGGCACCTGTCAGACACTTGGTGGCTTCTACCCAGTGTTGGATTTGCCTCTGTGTGACCTTGACAGATCCTTTAGTTTCTTAAAGTCAATACAGGGTTATAATGTCCTAGTGTGACTGACATTGTCTAAGGTATCCTTAGAAGAACCGTCATTCTACAAACTGAAGACAGTTCTGTGACTCCACAGTAGCATCACAGCCTGTTTGCTTGGAGACCTGCTTTGGAAACTGAGACTCTGTAGTGTGGTAGTGTTTGGTAGAGCCCAGTATGGTCTGGGGCTGGCAGGAGACACACCGCCGCATAGAGGGAAGCAGGGAGGCCTTCTGTTCAGCTGCAGTTGAAGACATGGGCCATAGCGGTGTTTTTGCTTTTGACCGGAAAGGAGTGTGAAGAAAGACACTTCTGTGTATTTCTGCTCTTGTCCTTTTTGTAACTTCTTATGGGCCAGCAAAAAGAAACAAGTGATGTTTTAGAAGTGTTCTGTCTTCAGTCAGACTTAGACACCAGTTCTTTCTGCTACCTCCAATTTATGAAAGACTACCAAGGAGAAGGCAAAGCCGGGCTTGCCTCTAACATCATGCTTATGATGATTACAGGCTTTCTGCAGAACATTCCAGGTACTTTTCCATCTGACTTTTATTATAACAGCCTTCCATTGCAGGCAAGGGTATGAACTTGAATCTTGGTTCTGCTGTTCCAGTGGCATGTGGTCTGGCCAGTTACCTCTAGTGTCCCCTATAAGATGGGATGGTAGTGCCCACCTCACAGAGCTACTGTGAGGACAAGCTGCATTGGGTACAAGATACCAAGTATCTTGGTGCTATTACTACTAAAGCAAATTAAGGTTAAGCATAAGATACAGTAACTCAGATACTTCACCCATTGAGAATAAGAATGGTAGCTCCGTAACCTGAGTCCTTTCTGGAAGTATCTCTAAAATGTTGTAGGAAAACTTCTATATAATTGAAAGCTTAAAGGTAAGGCCCTATTTCTAGAGTAATCTAAGTGACTACTGCTCCACAGAAGTGGTAAGTCATCTGTTACCATGGTAACCCCTGGGGTGACTCTGCAGAGAGAGGATATGAGCCTAGTAAGACTGCCTGTCCTTTATAGAACTGTAGACAAAATGAAACTTCTCTACACACACACACACACACACACACACACACACACACACGCACACACGTTCCATATTCGCTGCTCCCATTTCACGTCTGACTCTTGCATCTTTTTTAGCTAATCAGTCCTGAATAGCCCTAATTTTTCCAAAACCGCTCAGCATTTCTCCTTGGATACACAGCATTTGATGGAGAAGAAAGGTCAGCGTCCAGTCATCAGAGTCGTTGAGTTGCTGCTGTGTGTCAGGCAGTATCCTAGACTTAAGGCAGCCAGAGGTACTAGATCCTCCATGGACACCTAGCTTGTGGACAAAGCCAGCCAAGTAAGATACAAAAAGGGCTAGGAGAGTTCAGGAAGAACTGGGGACATCTCTGTGCAGTGATAGGAGGGCAGATGCATCCGGGGAAGGTTTGATGGGAAATCTAGGATTTAAAAGATTTCTGGGCAAACAAGAGGGATCTCCTTTTTTAAAAAAAAATTTTTGTTATTTTTATTTTACGTGTATGAGCATATTGCCTGCATATATGTGAGTACACCCGTGTCATGCAATGCCTCAGAGGTCAGAAGAGGGCTTCAGATTCCCCTGGAACTGGAGCCACTATGTGGGTGTTGGGAGTCGAACCTGGGTCCTCTGCAAGAGGCTGAGCCATCTCTCCAGCCCTGACAAGAGGAATCTCTTAAGAGAAGACAACACCACGGTGTGTTAATGTAGGTCAGTATGACCGGGATCTGGGGGCAGGGACTGTCCCCATAACCCACCGTGTATTAAAGGCTGTTTGTGTTAAGAAGCTACTAGGAAAATGGGTTTTCAACAAGCGCTAGAGATACAAGTGAAGGTGATACCCTTTCCCCCTTACTTGTTTATAAGTTCATAGGAGTTCCTTCTCACCTGTCTCTGACTGTTCCTAAAGCTGCTGTCCAAATGGTTGAGGCTATTGATGACTCACTATCATTAAGGACCATTGTCTTTTCTATGACATGTAGATATTACACGTACCGAACTTTAAGAGTTACTTTTTATTTTTGAGGTAAGGCCCTTAGAAATATCTGGTGGCATACTTGTATTACTGTAAAGATATATGTCCAGGCTCTAAATTGGATTGTTTCCAGACATTATAAGCTACTTGAAACTGTTAGATGCAGTTTATTTTAAGAGAGGAGGCTATTTTAATGAGCTGTTGCCTTTTATAGAGTTTTAGATTTAGCCATTTAACAGCTTTAGTATTTTTCTGTTAGAGTTAATGATATTATTATGGTTAGTTTGCTCATTAATACCAGATTCTCCATGTTGGTTAAGATTCTTCATCCTATTGTCAAATAATCTTTGGTTTACTTCATGATTTGAACTATTAATGCCCTAAAATAGTCCTCATGAGGAACTGCTAAAATGTTTCTCAGGCTTGTTAGGAAAGAGCACCTGACTTGTGCAGACCCAGTGTGACTTAGAGAAAACCGCATCATCAGAACCTCAATGGAGGTTCTGTTTTTTGGAAGTAGAAAGGACAGAAGATGCCACTAGCCAGTTCTTCTCAGTAAAATAGCTGCCCCATAGCAAGTACCCATTACATCTCCCTTCACTCAGAGTTTTGAAAACAAACTCATTTAAAGTGGAAATAAAAATGAAATCAAGGGACATATACACACATACAAGTGAAATAGTAGGCATGACAATATAAATTTGATCTGTAATTTCCATCACAGACTAACATAAAAAAAGTTCTAACTTCAGGTTAATATTGCAAAGACAGTGTCTTACACTAAGGTGTACCTTTTCATAATTAGAGTCTGCAGTGTTGTGCCTCAGAAGTATCACCTGAAGGTATGTTGTTACCTTGGGGTGAGTCATTAAGGGTTGGGAGCCTTGTTCATGGCTGTGCCTAGTGCTCTCTGACTTTAGAAAGCAGTCCACTCCAGAGCTGAAAGGAAGGCCAGCTTTGGCTGGTGACATCTGAACTGTGTGTGGTGTGAAGGAAGGACTGGAGCGTCCTAGCGTTTTGCCCTCTGTTTTAAGTGACATTTTACCTCCTTGGAACTTCTCTTTGTTTTTTAGTTTAGGGATTCCCCCACTGCCCCAGGGTTATAAACATGTCTTTGGTTCTAACTAGTGTGTTGCTAATTTTAAAGCCAGTCACATGTCCTTCTTGTCACCTCAGATCCTCATCTGACCATTGCTGCCTCAGGGCTCAAAATGGATGAGCAGAGGGCAGGCAGAGTCACTGCTGACTGTGACCACTTGTATATGTAGGCTGCCTGGGATCATCCAGCTGGGGTCCTAGCAAGCAGTTGGGAAGTAGACCCTGAAGGGACAATGTTCCTAGTACTTGCCGCCAGCCAGCAGCCAGCATCTCCTCCGTTTTCCTTACTTGTAAATGTGTTTAAAAAAAAAAAAACTTGCATTTTTTTCCTACAATCAAAAGGCATGTCAGATGAGATACACAAATGAAATTTTGATTTCCTAAATTTATCTGAAGTTTACTTGTCTAGCTTTAAAAAAGATGACACATGATGGTTTGCTTATATTGAAATGAATAAAAATTAAAATTGAGTATGCTGGTTAGTAGGTAAGTGAAAACAAATTTCCTTTTTGACTGCAGTCTTGCTGTGTGTCCAGCCTGTCTCAGACTCTTGGTCTCCATTGTTTTACCACCTCACCCCTGAGTGGCTGAGGCTCCAGGCTCACCTCACCTGGCTTACCAGACATTTTTGAATAACAATTTGTTCCTCTGTGAGTGAAGTCATGCCCATGTTTGCCAGCACTTTTTGTGAGTGCTAAAAATGTTAATGTATTAATAATTTTCAAATTGAGAGAAAGGCTGTTTGAAATCAGAGTTAAACTCCCACTTTTCCCTCTAAGAATCCTCTCTAAATAGTATAGTTCGTAATGTAACTGGTTTTTGAATGGCTTGTGCACTGAGCTCTGGTGGGCATGAGTTACATTCTGAACAGCGGGTGCTGGGTGGACAGGGCAAACTGGGAGGCTGACTTGCCCGGTTGAAGACAAGGCATGACTAGAGGCGCATCTAGAGCGTCTGCCTCACCTTTGTGCTTGTGATGCTGGTTCTTTTGTCTTCCTGGGTCATGATACAAAAAGCTGTTTGAATTTTTATGACAAATTGCATCTTTATTGTTTTTGCTTCAGATTCATTTGTTTTATCCACAGGTGTTGACTTTAAAATCAAGACTGTAGAGCTAAGAGGAAAGAAAATTAGATTACAGATCTGGTAAGTGGCAGTCCACCCCAGTCATGCCTGTGTGTAACGATCTGCACATCTACTAAAATGAACTCTGAGCTGGCCTGCCACACCCACTTTCCTGCTCATCTTAGAATCCGGTGTCCAGCACTTCCTGGGAGCATCTCCGTATCTCACACTTCCTTTCCGCATGGGGCGTTGTGTTACTGTGATAACAGTTAGTTTGAGCCTCTCTGCCTCTATTTTTCAGTCATTTGACATATCTCAAAACTGCCATGTTGCAATGATTGCTTATCTTGGACTGCGGTTATAGCTCAGTGATAAGCTCTTGTTTGGCATGTGTGAGACCCTGGGTTCCATCCCCAGCACTGGTGGTGGGGAGAGGGGACTTGCCTTCATGTCTTTAAAATTGCTGTGTGTTACTCAAAAGTTCCAAGTGTATTCATAACTATATTGGCAGGAGGGGAAGCACCTCACCCACAGTCGGCTCAGGGATCCTTGTGCTGGCACAGTGTGGAGATGGTGTGGCAGGTATGCCCTTTCCTGCTGGGCTGTGGGTGTCCAGTGACCAGAGCTCCTTCTGCCTACCAGAGGAGGATCAGAGGCCCCACCTAAAAAGAGAACCCCTTTCTCAACTCAGAGTCAATAAGAGGCCAAACCAGCTGTGTTTTAACTATACTCAGTGCTTAAACCTTTCTCTTCCTTTTTAACAGCCCACAGCGGCAGTTAGAAGTACCCAGTGTTGCCAGCAGCCTCTGTAGAAGAAAGGGCAGGTCCAGCCTGTGGTGCTAGAGTAGGGGCCCCGCTGAGCTGTTCTGAAAATGCCATTGTGGTTTTCACGACACTGATGCAGTGTACTCAGCTTACTAACTCCTCTTGGCAGGTCACCCTCAGCTCTGACTGTCTGTCCACCATCTGTGTGTTTTTGCTTTCATCTGCGTTAATTGCTGCCTCATCTGTGGTGTCACCGGTCACCTAACGCTTGAATGTTAGTGGCATGTCTCCATCCTTCATCCGTGTCCCTGTCTGGGGCACAGCTGCAGCTGAGCCAACCTTGCTCGCTACGGAGGTGTCTGAGGTAATGCCTTCATTTGGTCATCTGCTACTGTGAACCCACTCAAGGGCTTTGGGAGTTTTATTTTGTTTCGTGGTTGTTTGTAATTTTTTGGTTGTTTTGTTGTTGTTGTTGTTTTGGGCTTAAATACCAAAGAATAGGTATTTCTTCCACTAACCCACAAAAAGGTAGCAATTTTTGTTTAGTTTGTTGCTGTCCATCAAAATATCTGTAACATGGCTGCTCTTTTTTAACTGCAAGCTCTTTTTTAAAAATTATTTCACTTTTTATTTTATGTGTATGAATGTATTGCCTGCATTTATGTAAGTGCATCCGTGTCGTGCAGTGCTCTTAGAGATCAGAAGAGGGCAGTGGATCCCCTGGAATTGGAGTTGTGGATGTTGTTAGCTGCCACGTGGGTGCTGGGAACCAAATCCAGGTCCTCTGCAAGAACAGCCAGTGCTCTTAACCATCTCTCCAGCCCCATCTAACTATAAATTCTTTAAAGATGTTTTTTCAAAGGATTTGGAACACATCTACCTCTGCCCCCTAACATTTGTGGCTGATGTGCTTTTCTGGGAGAAGGGTAGGCAATAGAACGTATAGACAGCTTGTTTGGGTGGCGTACACCTTTAATCTCAGTGCTAGGGAGGCAGAGTAGGTGGATCTCTGTGAGAGCTCCAGGCTGACTAGGGCTGCAGAGAGAGACCCCCCCCCCCAAAAAAAAAAAAAAAAAAAAAAAAAAAAAAAAAAAAAATCCTAGGACTGGAGAGATGACTCAGTGGTTAAAAGCAGCTGTTGCTCTTGCAGAGAATCTGAGTTTGGATCCCAGTACCCACATCCGGTGGCTCACAGCTGTCTGTAACCCCAGCTCCAAGGGATCCTTACCCTTCTTCTGGCCTTTGTGGACACACACACACACACACACACACACACACACACACACACGTGTCTATACCCATACATAGACACATAATTAAAAATACATCTGTTTTTACAAAAAGTATGTCTGAATGTTCAGGTGCCTCCTGTTCTGCCCATCATTATGGTCTTTGACTTACAGCTTTCCTTACGGCAGCCTGTTCCGTGAGGAGAGCTGGACCAGATTTGAAAGCATTCTCTAAAAGCAGTGCCTCTTCTGCTTCCCCCTTGACTCTTCACCCCTTCAGCTTGGTCCTCTGTAATTTCTACAGCTGTCAACATGACACTGGTAAAGAGCATCAATCACTGAGCAAGGCGAAGTGATGTGCATCAGATTTGTTGAAAAGTTGGTTGCAAATTTTCTGCTTAGAATATTCCAGTGATTCACTTAGTAAGCAGGACTTGAGTATTAGTTACTTTTCTCATTGCTGTGACAAAATAACCGACAGACGCAATGTAAGGAAAGAATGTTTATTTCAGGACCCAGCTTAAGAAACTACAGCCCTGCCCAGCGTGGTAGCGCATGCCTGTAGTCCCAGCACCTGGGAGGTAGAGGCAGGCGGATCTCTGTGAGTTCAAGGCCAGCCTGGTCTACATAGTGAGTTCCAGGACGGCTGGGGCTACGGGGAGACCCTGCTTCAAAAAGACAAAAAAAAAGAAAAAGAAACTACAGCCCTTTGTAGCCGGAAGGGAGTGGTGAGTGGCTTGCAGTAGGACCTCCAGGCTGCTTGCTCACACCTCAGCGGAGCAGGAAGCACTGAAAGGAGAAGCCAGTGCTTGGCTCTCACTTTCTCCTTCTTCCTGTCTTTATTCCATCTGGGCCCCCAGCCCATGGGATGGTCCACTTAGATTCAGTATGGATCTCACTCTGAGTTAATCCTCTCTGAAAACACTCCCTTACTGATACACCTAAAGATGAGCTCGCCTGTGCTCTGGGTGTTGCCTCATCCAGTTAACAGTCCATCACAACCTATCTTTTCCTTGAAGGAGTTTTCAAGAATGAATCTTATTTTGGCAGTGTTCCAGCCACTTGGTTAATCACATAATACTCAGAGACTTTTAATAAAGTACAGATTGAGCATCTCTTAGCCAAGATGCTGGGGACCAGAGGTGTTTTGAATTTTGGAATATTTGCATAGATAGAATGATATAATTTGGGTATAGCACCCCAGTCTAAACCCAAAACTCATCTGTTTATTACTTGAAGGTGTCTAGTGTGCCTGCATTTTGAGGTCAGATGTTGAATTTTCTACTTATGGTATCAAGCTAGCATTCAAAAAGTGTCAAATCTTGGAGCATTTGGGGTATTTAGATTGGAGATGCTCAGCCTATACTGTCTGACATGTTTGGGGGTCCAGGGCAGTTCCTGTGCTGCTGCTGTTATGATGTCCTCCATCACTCGTGTTGTTCTGTCATCAGCTGCAGGGACAGCCAGTGTGGTTGCCAGCAGCTCCTCAGGAACCCTGGTGGACTATGCTTTGCTGATTAGGACCAAGCTCCGCTTCCCCACCCTGTAGCCGGTTGGTTTCCACAGAGAGAGGCTTGTTAGAACAAATGTGCTTTTTCTTGATAATTCATATTTTAGTCATTCTAAAGAAATGCTGTTCACTGAAGATTCCTAAAAGATTAAAATTCTGAAAGCTGCAGCTGCTACATTTTTATATCACATAATGTCATTGCCACAGTTTTCAGCTTTTTTATTATGTTTAGTTAGAAGACCACTTTTTCCTCTGTTCTTAAACTATGTCTACATGAATGTACATAAGAACTTCATGTGTAATTGTATGTGTATGGGGCAGGGAAGGGAGTATGCACACCTGAGTGCAAGTGCTGGCAGAGTTCAGAAGACAGCACTGGATTCCCTGTAGCTGGAGTGAGAGGTGGTTGTGAGCCACCTGATGTGTGTGCTGGGAACCAAACTTGGGTCCTCCAAAAGAGCAGCAAACGCTCTTAACCTCTGAGCTATCTCTCCAGCCTCCCCTCCCCCAAATGCTTCCAGTCATTGTATTAAAGTGGACTTGAAGCCTTGAAGTGTGACTTCTACGTTGAGAGAAACAGGATTCAAGTGGCTCATTGGCTGACCCCTTCCTCTAGTTCATCGGCCCTGCCTTCACTGTAGGGGAATTTTGTTCCAACTGGTGTTTCTAGGTTGTCAACAAGTTTATTTCCTTTAGTTCTCTGCTTGGAAAAGGTGATATATTTCATATGCTAAAATTGGTTCCCTGCCCTGCAAATTAGTACCTTTAAATGAATGTATTAGATAGCAAATAAAATCATTGAAATGTGTAAACACTGTTATATTACCAGACTGGGAAAGCAGAATTGCAAGAATTCTTCAGTTTGCACCAAAAGTAGAGAGAGAAATCAGAATAAGAGCCCACACTGATCTAGTAAATGATGATTTAGCAGACAGTGAAAACCCCAAACTTCTGGAAATCAGCTCTTCATCATTACAATGAAAATTCAGTTTCATGGAGATAAAGAGGGAGAATATTTGAATTCTGTTTTATCATAGTTGATTATCTTAATTACAAGTGGGTCCTTTGTGGTGCTAACAAATAATGGATATTTAGCAACCTGTTGAATAGAATCAGCATTTCATATTCCCATTTTCCCTAATCCTTGATCAGATGTGATCACAGATAATTTATGTATAGGAGCTCCTGAGAAGAGTAGAAGACAAAACATTTCTCAACCTGAATATTTGGGGAATATGGAATAGTTACTCAAAAGAACCCGTTTTTCTACTTGAGGCATTCAGAGTCAGTTTCAAAAAGATGGAATTTAGAGTGCTGTCTTTAGGACTGGAGCAATGGCTCAGCAGTTAAGAGCACTGACTGCTCTTGCAGAGGAGAGGACCCAGGTTTGATTCCCAGCATCCACATGGCAGCTAACAACCCTCCGTGACTCCAGTTCTAGGAGATCCGGTGCCCTCTTCTGACCTCCGCAGGCATTGCAGGACACAGGTACACTTACACACTTACAGGCAATGTACTCATACACATAAAATTAATAAGTAAATTTTTTTTTTTTTTAGAAAATAGTCTTCAGTGGGGAGTGAACTGTTAGGGGTGTCTTGCTAAATACTGCATCTCCCTTTTTATTTTGAAGAAATAAATGACCCCATGTTTTGATGTACTTACTGGAATTCCTGTTGCTGGTTTCCTCATGAAGGGTAGTTTGTTGGTCTTGGTTCATAATCTATCTCCATTTGTGCAGTTCAGCTGTTAATCCATGTATAGTGATAATCATGTGTCCATAATAATGTAAATCAGCCTGAATTTTTCCTCCTCCAAATGTAGGGCTTAGGGAAGAATGTGCCAGTTCTTCCTGTTCCCTGGGGGTAGAGAAGAGGCAGCACAGTGCATTTGCAATGGAATGTGAACTTGCTTGCTTTGGTGGTTTGGGAACTGATATTTGCTGCTCCTTCCTAGGGACACAGCAGGTCAGGAGAGATTTAACAGCATTACCTCAGCTTATTACAGAAGTGCCAAGGGAATCATATTAGTGTATGATATCACCAAGAAGGAGACGTTTGATGACTTGCCGAAATGGATGAAAATGATTGACAAGGTATGTGTCACATTTTACTGGATGCCAACTCTCAGCTTGTATCATTCCTTGTGAAAGCAAAAGAGAGAGACATCACAGTTCACAGTACTGGAGCGTTTGTGGACTAAATGTCATCTAATCTAATCCATGTTACAACCTCAGAAAAGGCAGGTAGTGCTTTGTTAAGAGATGAGGTTGCAATGATGAAGTAATTGCCCAGAATCGGCTTATAACAAATAAAGCAGATTTTGATTCCAGTCCATGAACTATCTGATTGCAAAGCCCACACTTGTTCTTTCTACGGTATTTGACTGCTTCCATAGGGTTAGACTAAACAGGACACTCATTTCTTATGAAAGGTCCTGTAGGCACTTGTTTTGTGTCTCCATGGTACCCATGGGCAGTTCAGTGGTCCAGTCATTCACTGGGCACTTGCCCTCAGCATTGTAGATGTCCTTCAGTTTCTCATTTTAAACAAGGGATGGTTTTCCTTTGGCTTGTAATTGAGTCCTTACAGAAACCTGTGTCTGCATGACTAATGTAAACTGCATTTTCCTCTAGGGAATGTGGAGAGCAATGCACTTTTAGAGGTACAGCAGCTGGGATTGAAGTGTGATCATACAGTTGACCACGGTTTGAGGAATTTGTCCCCTTATGCAGTAATTTGATGTTTAATTCCTTTAAGTTAGCAGCACACCTAATATAAATATGGGTTTCATATACAAATTGTATTTAAATGCAACTTTATTTGGCCTGTAGTTGTATAGATGTTCGAGAAGGTTAGCTTCTAAATTTATCAAGTTTTCAACATATACCTCTTCACTGTATGTTAGGGACTGGTGTTACAAATAGGAATGGGACCTAGGCCAGCCCCTACCTTTATCTTGCTCTGCACTTGGCATTGGTTACTAGGTACTCATCCTTCCTCCTCCCACGCCAACAGACTACCAAATCAGACCTGTTTTATCCACCACCCAGTTAATCCCTGTGGTAGATAGTTTTAACACAGAATAGGTTTCACATGGTGGCCATGTATAGAGAAGACCCAAGCCTCAAAGAGGTCTCCCATAGAGAGGTTTGGAGATATTTATGATAAAGAAGCAGGTGGTTGAGGATGTGGAGAAAGGTGATTGGAGGTGATCAGTGGTCTGCCATGTGTAATCTTTATGGCTCTTTATATTCAGAAATAATGGTACTAGCCATTGAGGCCATCCGATCTGAGGGGGCACTCCTGGGCATCATGATAATAAAAAGTCACTCATCAGACTTCTGCACAGGCCCAGGTAAAGAGAGGCTTAAAAAAAGCCAGGTATGGTGGGAGACACCTTTAATCCCAGCATTTGGGAGGCAGAAGCAGCGCTACCTAGTGAGACTCTGTCTTAACAACAACAACAACAAAAAAACCAAAAACTTTAAATCACTGAAAAGTAACCTACAAAACCATTATCATGGTGCTAGTGAGAGGGTTCAGTGGGGAGCTGTTTGCTCCCTCGAAACCACATAATAGAAGAAAACTCACTCCCACAAGTTGTTCACTGACCTCCACATGCACACCATGGCTCACGCGCACACATGTAAAGAAAGCCGTTATTAGCATAGCATCATAAAGGTTAAGAGTGTTGTCTAGAGCAGAGCTAGTGGAGACTAAGAATCTATTCCTGAGTTGCACGGCTTCCAGAGGTACTGCCTTGGAAAGTTGAATAAAACAGGTAACAAGGGAGAGGGACTCAGAGATCAAAAATTCTGAGAGCTGGTTACTATAAATGAAACTGTGCTGGCTGTTTATTGACTGGCAGTTATCAGAGTTAGGATTCTGAGCCAGGCCTGCTGGCACACGCCTGTATTTATTTATTTAGAAACAGGCTCTCATTGTCTTGAAGCTTACCTACTGGGCAAGGCTGGCCAGCTAGTGAGCTACAGGGATCCTCCTCTCTCTGCCTCTCCAGTACAGGGATTACAAGCACACCACACCTGGTTTTTTTACATGATTTTTAGGGATCAAACTCAGGTTCTCGTGCTTCCATGACAAGCACTTTACCAGCTGTCTCCCCAGGCCCACTTACAGTCTTTTGATGATTACGTTTCTGAGAATGGCTCTTAGGTTCTGAGAGATGCTTTTGAGCTGCACAAGATACATATTTACAGTGGTAAGCACCTCTTCTAGAAAATGCCCAGTAGATGCCTGTGTCCCATTGAATAGGTCTTCAGTATTTGAAACCTCAGAGTTGCTCCTAAGGACATTAGGAAAGGACAGTCCTCTCATTGTAGTCTAAAATTTCTGAAACTAGCCGAGTATGGTGGCGCATGCCTTTAATCCCAGCACTCGGGAGGCAGAGCCAGGCAGATATCTGTGAGTTAAGGGCCAGCCTGGTCTACATAGCAAGTTATAGGCCAGCCAGAGCTACAGGGAGATCCTATCTCAAAAAAGACCGAAAAAAAAAAAAAAATCCAAAACTGACGTGTGAATGGAAAATGGAAGCAAATGGCCTAAATGCTGAGGACATAGTAGGTGCTTGAGCTTGTGACTCCACCAAGATCTTGAGGTTTGATATCCACCTGTCCTCTGTTCCCCTGTTCTTTAGACAAGAGCTATCAATGCTCACCTTGGGCCAGTCTGGTCAGTACCAGTGCTGCCACCGACACATCACTGACAGGGAACTAGTACACACCCCCACCCCTCTGCAGGTTGCCAAGGGCCACACTCCCCAGATGTCTTTGCATGCTGTTCAGTTAACTTTTTAGAAATGCACAAAATTGAGTTACTAAAGAAATAATAACTTTTTCAAGAGAGAAATTCTATTGAATCTGTATTTTTGAAAAGCTTGTAGATGGAACTTAACATTTTTCTAGATTACAAGTCAGTGGAAGAAGCATTGGAGCACAAAAGGAAGTTTGAATATTGGACATTGGTCTGTTTTGTCACCAAGTACTCTGTTGTGAGGGCCCTTCCCATGTCATTTTGTGTTCTTCTAGAGAACAAGGTTTTCTGGGGGATTTGGGATTTTTTTAAATATTTTATTTTCTTATGTGTATGAGCATATTACCTGCATGTGTGTAGGTGCACCCATGTTGTGCAGTGCCCAGAGAGGTCAGAAGAGGGCATCAAATCCCCTGGAACTGGAGTTATGGATGGTTGTTAGTCACCATATAGGTACTGGGAATCAAATCCAGGTCCTCTGCAAGAGCAGTTAGTGCTCTTAACCACCGTGTTGGTGCTGGGAATCAGACCCAGGTCCTCTGCAAGAGCAGTTAGTGCTCTTAACTGCTGAGCCATCTCTCCAGCTCTTGTTTTTAGCAGCACTGTTTGAACATACTTTATTTTGTTCTTCATTTTGTTGTACTTTAGGTTTTTCACAGTTGATGACAGTTTTGAGTACAGAGTTTTGCCTGTATTTTGAATCATTTCCTTAAGAGAGTCTTAAGAATGAGTCGTGGAGCCAAGGCCAAGGTGGTTCTTGATGCCTTTCACCAGGGTGCTTTCTAAAGCACTGTGAGCCCTGTCCATCCTCAGTCCTGCCTGGGCCCAGGAGATGCCCAGGGACAGTGAACAGAGCGAACAGATGAGTAAATGGTAACAGTTTGTCTATCAGTGTGTGACGGTATTGTCTTTGAAAATTCCGTAGTATGCTTCTGAAGATGCAGAGCTTCTCTTAGTTGGAAATAAGCTGGACTGTGAAACAGACAGAGAAATCACCAGACAGCAAGGAGAAAAGGTGAGTGACCACGGGAAGCCCCAGAGACGCCCAGATCATGTGTCCTCTCATAAATGACTTTAAAATGACAAAATAGCTGTCGGTGCAGTGACCGCTCTGTCACATCCTTCTTGTTGGTTTCCTTTACATTTTCTTTGAGTTCATTTTGAAACGGAAAAAGCACATTAGTATATACTGTAGTATTACCTTCTCTGACATTTTATACAGAAGAACATTTTGAGATTGTAAGATGTGCTGTCATAAGTTTTCTTATTCCAATGTATTTTCGCCTGCCTTGGCTTTTGCTAAGGATTCAATCATGGAGAAGCAATGATATTCACATTTTAAATGTCAGATACATTGCATATTTAGAGTCTTACACATGTAATTGGATTTAAAGGTCCTGATATCTAGAAATTTTTGTGTTTATATATTAAGGGAACTTGAAGTATATATGCATGAACTTGATATTGGAGCATAAATGGGACTTTACAGACCTTTAGTTCCCTCTTCCCCCCTCTTCTCCTAAAGATAAGACTCTGAGGCTATGGCTCGCCATCAGAAGCCAGGTCTGATGCAGGAAGGTGGGCCAGGTTGCCCTGCATGGGTAAAGCATACCTGTCTTCTTAGTTTGCACAGCAGATAGCTGGGATGCGGTTCTGTGAAGCCAGCGCCAAGGATAACTTCAATGTGGATGAGATATTTCTGAAACTCGTTGATGACATTCTGAAAAAGGTAAAGAAAAAAAAAATCTACATTATGAAAGAATTTCATCTGAAACCTCTTTTCCTTTATTACCTTTTTTGTTGAGAAGGTTTTCTTTAGAAACAAAAGTACTGTAGTTTGGCTTATGCTCAGGAACCAGGTGTGGTAGCGAACTTGGCAAGGTATATCCCCAATTGGCTGTCGTGACAGCTGTTTCTCATCTGTGGGATTTAGTTTGCTTTGCTTTGAAGTAGAATTTTCTGGAGTGGCTTATATGTAGTGTGATGTGAGGAACTGGGGTGTGTGGCTCATTGGTAAAGCATTTGCCTGGCATACTTGGCCCTGGGTTCCATCCTAGTATAAATATATGAGCTGAGAGTATGGCTTTGCTGTACCGCACTTGTGTAGCGTACACAAGGCCCTGGGTTCAGCAACACCATATTTGTTTGACATTTTCTTCTTTCCCCACAGAATTAAGTTTACTCTGGAGACCTAGCAGAAGCCGGCCTTCCTAGCTTAGGAGCCACTTGCCTTCCTTGTGCCCTCACCCTAAAGTGGCCTCTGTCCTCCACAGAAGCCCTCTGAGTTGCAAGGAAATTGCTGGACAGCCTCACTGGGCAGCTGCAGTTTTTTGGGGCATCTTTAGGTTCATACTGAAGGCCTTCAGTAAGAACTTAAATTCATTTACACAGTGTATCTCTTGATCGTTATCCCTGGGTGTTCACCAGGGGATTGGGTCTAGGACCCTGAAATATTATCTAGATGAGTTGATGCCTAATGTGGTGTAAATGCTGTGGCTATAGTTGCAGTGGGTGTTGTTTAGGGAATAATGGCAAGAAATATCTGTACGTGAAAATTACACGGTTATTTTTCACCGAGTATGTTTTACCAGAGTGTTTGGATCTGCCAGTATAGAACCTACCAGAAGTGGAAGGCCAACTGTTTTATATAAGTACCACAGGCTAAGCACTAGGTGACTGTGCCACCGAGGCCCAGGAGGACCGGCTCTTAGAATTCTTCAGTCTTGACACGATTCTGAAGCTTCAAATGAAACCGCTGCTTAGTGCTTGCCAGAGGTTTCTTTCTTTAGAACTCAGGCCATTTTATTCATTCACTAATATGTGAAATTTTTATTGCAGTAAATTCTGTAAAAATAAGTTGTCTATTTTTTTATTTTAATCACACTACTGGTAAGCAAGTCTAGGGCCCTCATGCATGCTGGGCAAGCACTCTGTGGCTGATCTGCCTCCCGGGTCTCTTTGAGCCAGCCTTATAAAACAGTGCTTTGTTTTTTAGATTATACAACAGAGCATTCCCTTGTAAGATGAAGGTATGTCTGTGCTTTCTCCTTATCCTCTAGATGCCTCTGGATATTTTGAGGAATGAGTTGTCCAATAGCATCCTCTCGTTACAACCAGAGCCAGATATCCCGCCAGAACTGCCTCCACCTCGGCCGCACGTCCGATGCTGTTGATTTGCTACTTTGCAGACAAAGTGCAGCAAAAAATTCCTAGAAAGGGGAAAACATTCTCTTCCGCACTACAATCATTTTGACAATTTCCTTTCGCACTTTGTAATCCAAGTCAGAGCTATACACTAACTTGTAAATATGCAAATATGCAATCCTGGGTAAGTTTGGGTTATAAGTTACATATTTCCCTCCAAATTCTGTTTCCTTCATCGCCCCAGTGTCTAGTGTACCTACACTGGGAGATGTAGTACTTCTAATATATGAAGAATGGGAGAGAAGAAGGTAGATGGTTTCTTAAGTAACATAATTGTCCTTGTTAATTATGAGGACAGATATTCTGATAAAAAAGAGAACGTGGTGCTTTGCTTACTGTTGAAAGAAAATTTGTAAAAACTAAGGATTTTTTTTTTCAAAAAGAAGCTAAA